ATGTTCATTAACTACCCAAGAAATTAAACCTGAAAAACTTTGAATTATCCCCTCATATCTTTTAAATTGGACAAAATAATTCTGTGAATAATTATGCAAAAAATACAATGAGAATGTTGATAGACTNTGTTCATTAACTACCCAAGAAATTAAACCTGAAAAACTTCGAATTATCCCCTCATATCTTTTATATTGGACAAAATAATTCTGTGAATAATTATGCAAAAAATACAATGAGAATGTTGATAGACTTACGCAGAAGCAAGCATAGTCATGTATCAAAGATGGAACTGCAAATTGGTAGAATCTTTTAGGAAAATAATCTAGTTATATGCTATAAATCTTACAAAAATATTCATTACCTTTGACTTAATAATCATATTGGAAATATAACCTTTGCATATTAAAAATAACAAAAACTAGTTATTAAGTTTTTAAATAGTAGCATCACTTGTAATTGAGGAAAAACTGAAAGAATTAGAGTCAAATTTGGGGGAATGGCTGAATAATTGTTGGCATATTAATGCCACAGAATATTATGATACAACTAGTATTCTATAACACAATTAAATATGAAGACTGTAAAGTAAACTGGAAAAATTTATATGACTGTGACAGTAATACATATTTATATGCATTTATACATATATACCTATATATACACATATATTATTATTGTACACATAATGTTAATGCATATCAATATTTTACTATATTATTGACATGTATATATTATATGTGATAATAATACATATAAATATATAATTACTATCATAGTCATATAAATTCTTCTAGTTCACTTTATAGTCTACATATATAATTGTATTATAGTATTCTATGATATTGATATACTAACAATTATGTATAATAATTATATACAACTATATAATTCTATGTGTGTATATATATATGTATACAGACACACATATAATATATATTTATATGCCTATATTATATATCAGATAATATATACATATAGAATATCTTTATTTGGGAAGGCCTAAGTTCCCTTGCCTTTGCTTTTTCTTCTCTTTTCTAGAAATTACTGTAATCTTCCTTGCTTTGTGCTCATACAACACAAAGGAATTTCCTCCTCCCCTAATTCCTTTTCCTCCAACCCCCACCTCTCATCCCCAAATCCTAGTATCTTCCTGCCTGTGACATCAGAGATAAGAAACCAATCACAAGTACCTTCATGAGACCTTGACCCCGCCTATAAAAGTCATAACTCTTGATGGCATCAACCAACTTTCCTGCTTCAAAGGACTCTGGTAGACACTATTTTTGCTTTTATATTTATGTCCCCAGGACTTAGCACAGGGCTTAGCACATATTAAACACTTAAAAAGATGCACTTTCTTTGATACATCCATTCCAACTCTGTCCCTTACTACTTGTATGACCCTGAGCAAGGCACTTCATCTCTCTGAGTCTCAGTTTTTCCATCTGTAAAATAAGGGGGTAAAATGAAATGGTCTTTAAGGTCCCTTCCATCACTAAATCTATGACCCCATATGCAAATATAAATGGATAAAGAAAACTGAAAATCCCTATCCTCAAGGAGGTTACATTCTAATGGGACCAAAACAAGAGGAAGAAAGGAGTTAACAAGGTTCCACCTATGTTAACTATCTCCACTTTATCCATTACATACATTATTTTTACATAGTTGTTTGCATGTTCCTCTCTTAGATTGTGAGCCCCTTGAGAACAGAGGCTGTTTTTGCCTTTCTTATTATTCTCAGTGCTTAGTACAGTGCCTGGCACATAGCAGGTAATGGCTGACTTGACTCAAGGTAGCTACATCAAGTTCTTGGCACTCATTGATGAATGAGATACCTGAGTGCTTAATGATTCCTGAAGCAGGAAGCCATCAAGAATCATAACGTTTATGGGGAGGTGTCAAGGAATCATCAAGTCCAATCCATATCTGGTAAGTAGTGAATTTTCCCTCACCAGAGATCTCTAAGCAGGGTGTAGATAACTACTTATCAGAGATGTTATAGTCTTGAATCTTGTTCAGGATTGAACTAGATGACTTCTGAGGTCCCTTTCCCCTCTGACATTCTTTGATTCTGAGAAAACATCCACAATATCTCTATTATCTAGCCCTTATTGAAAACCGCCATTGAGGCTGAACCCCCAAATATCCCTAACCTTCTGAGAAGTTTTAAGTTAACTGCTGCTGCTAGTTTATGTTTGTTAATTCATGCTTTTGAATTTCTTATGTTTGTGAGGAAGTTCAATTTATTTTATAGACCCATAGCATTTGACTAGGTCTCCTCAGTCAGTCTGAACACACTTTCCATGAACCATCTAAGGCTTTTAAGGACTGTTCTACTTAGCCTAAAGCCTATGCTTGATTTGATTCAGTTGAGTTGTATTCTTACCTCATTAACATACTGGAGTTTTACTTTATTTTATCATTTTATTACCTACTTCAAGTAGGGTGGGGCAATTTGATTGATTCATTAAATCATACCCTACCTCTCCTATCTCACAATAAAATAAAGTTTCTTACGCTAGAACTTTACAATCCAACCAAAACCAACTCTAAGTCAATGAAAACTGTCTCAAGAACCTCTCTGCAAGAGTGCATAGGTCAAGAAAAAAACAGATAAATTTTTATGCTACCCCATAAACTCTGCTTTATTCTGGCTCTAAAGAACTGACTTTGTTTCATTGAATCTGACAGAATAAAACCAGGACAACACTGTATTCTAAATCTTTTTCCTTCTAAAGAATGGACATTTGGTGAATATGAATTGATGATGATTGTGATGGTGGTAATAGTGGAGTTGGTAGTGGTGGTGGGGATGTCTAAAAAAGTTTCAAGCACAGCTTCCTCCCCAAAACCATGTCTTCCATAAACCTTAAAGAAAACCAAAAGAAGTAAAATATTTTGTCATAGTTGACTTTGGGGAGGAGATTCAGGCTACTTAAGACAATTTGACCAAAGGCCAACTGATAATCAAAATAAGAGTACTATGAAGAAAAAGCTAAGAAAGAAAAGGAGCCCACATACCTGAAAGTATAATTCCCAGGAACAAGATTAGATAAATGCAAGACTGGGGAGTCAGCTGATGCCTTCTGTTCTCTTAGGGGCCCTTTAATTTCTTCCCAGTGGTAGCTCACGATTTTAGCATCATCTGTACTTTCTATATAAAAGATTTTTTTAAAAATCAGAACTAACATGAAAAGAAAGAATTGAAGAGGCAGATAGTATTAGACAGAATGCCCTAGTTAAAATCCAGGCTCTGCCATTCAACATTGGTGTGACCTTAGCAAAAACCATTTAATTTTTCAAAGGCTCAGTTTCTTCATCTGTAAAATGACACAGTTGGCCTAGATAATCTCTAAGGTCCTTTTCAAAGCTATATCTTAGGATTTCATAATTAAGACAAGATCAGTTTTTTACAATTCATCTTTCCAGATGTTTTTGGTATATACATATTGGAGTAGCTACATGGTAGAGTAGGTAGAATGTTGCACTTAAAAGTCAGGAAATCTTGAGTTCAAATCCTCATTAAGATACTTATTAGATATGTGACCCTGGGGAAGCCATTCAATTTCCTACCACCACTCTTTCCTCATCTGTAAAATGGGGATAATAAGAATATCTATCTCACAGGGTTATTGTGAGGGTCAAATGACAGAACATGTATAAATTATTTTGCAAACCTTAAAGTGCTTATAAATGCTAGTTATTATTACATAGATATACATTTCTTTATTTGAGGATATAAAATTATCTGAACATGTAATAATTATATAATACATCAACTCAAGAATCTAATATTTCATCGGTGCAGGGATTCTCCCCATTGCTGTGGATGGAAACCCTCAATACTTTAGCAGGTGGTCTTCATTAGTTGCTGCGGCAGAAAAAAATAGTTCATTGCCCGGTGGCCAATATTCTAGTAATGAGCCTCAGGCTCATCCTTCCAAGTCTGACCATTGGAAGGCAGCAATGTTGCCAGGTCCATATTTTCATAGCTTGGGAGGACCTACTAGTATTTCTCTTCTGCTTCAAGAAGCCTTCAAGGACTGAAACGTCAACTCCATGCCATATGACAGGGAACGCAGTAAAGTGTAAAAGTTGTTGGATTTAGAGTTAGAGTACCTGGGTTCAAATCCTGATTCTGCTACTTACAGCTAGTGTGACCTTGGCAAATTGATCGGGCCTCAATTTCCTCATCTGTACAATAAGAGCATTGGGCTAGGTGGCCTCTGAGGTCCCTTTCAGCTCA